TTTTTTGCTGGTTTCTACCCATCTAAGAGCAGAATCTAAAACTAACTGCTCAGGCAGCCAGTTAAGTAAACCTAATGAAACTATTTGTAGCAATGCCATCTGGTGACTGTTAGTAACACTGCAATCTGTCAAGTCAGATAAATGCTGACCAGCAAAGCATAAGTTACAAACTGCTCATTTTGTATTCAGGAATTTCAAACTATGCCATTTCAAACATCTTGCACTGTTTTCCTTATGCCTCTCTGACTAGTTCTCTGTTTTCCACTTAGAATCATAGAAAATGAGGGTTGGAAAGGACCTCAGGAGGTCATCTTGTCCAACCCTCTGCCCAAAGCAGGACAATTCCCTACTAGATCATTCCAGCCAAGACTTTGTCTATCTGGGTCTTAAAAACTGCTCTGGGTAATCTCTCTGGGTAACCTGTTCCACTGCTTTACTATCCTCCTTGTGAGAAAGTTTTTCGTATTATCCAACCTAAATTTCCTTTGCTGCAACTTGAGACCGTTGCTCTTTGTTCTGTCGTCGGTCATCACTGAGAACAGTCTAGCTCCATCCTAACCATCCTTACAAGCCCAGGTCCCTCAGCCTCTCCTCATAAATCCCCCAGCCCCCTCACCATTTTCATTGCCTTCTGCTGGACTCTCTCCAATTTCTATATTTCTTTGGAGATGTTGGTGGCTGTGAACCAACTTGCTGGTTGGCAGGTTGTGAACTACAAAGATACCGGCCTGGCTCCCCAGTTGAGAGCCTCAATCTGCTCTCACTCACCAGTTTTATGATGGTTTAATTCCACTGTGCTCAAAGGAGTTACCTGGGACTATCACTGAGATCGGAATCATGCACATAATCTTCAACTAGGAACAGTTCAGGCAAGTAACGATGTGGATTATCTCACTCCCAATCCCAAACAAAGACTGTTTTTTTTAATTAGATCCTTCAGATTAACTAACCTGTATAATTGGATTAGAACATCTCATGCAGGGTTGGGAGCCTAATAACCAACCAGAGGTGCCAACAGCAACAAATGCCATGTGAGTCATTATGTAGGTTGCTTTCATGTTGCTTCTGATGTTGATCAAAACCTCAGACACCGTAGGCCTTTTGTTAGACAAATATCCTGCATAATTTATACAGGCATTCTGAAAGATCACTTTGAAATGCATCTGCAAAACACTGGCCCTTTCTCTCACAACATCTATGGACCTTTTTAGTTTCTTCCTTTTACGTGGAAGGAGGAGGGGAACTATTATTATGTTGCATTAATTTGTTTAGTATTACTATGTGTAGACTATTATGTAATGGGACAGGAATTCACCCCTTCACCTCTCAAACATCATATACTTGGGGGAGGGAAGTAGAGGGACAGAAGATTGTTAATCAGTATGCAGCAAACTTTTGGTTTTGTCAGGCTGTTTAAAATATTAAAATTTGTATGTGCATTGACACACACACGCACAACATATTTCAAAATATAAAGCAAAGTGAAGGCGGAATCATGACACTAACAAGATGTGTGTCAACCAGCCACCTTTTTGTTTTTTGAATATCATCACACCCATTCCATCTGTCTCTCATGTTCAATTAAAGTTCAGCTCTTAAGTGCTAAAGCTGCCCTTATAAATGAGTTTTAGGCTTCTGAGTCATAGAATCATAGAAAGGTAGGGTTGGAAGGGACCTCAGGAGGTCATCTTGTCCAACCCCCTGCTTAAAGCAGGACCATCCCCAGCTAGATCATCCCAGCCAGGGCTTTGTGATATTTAAAAACAATTCAGTTCTTATGTGTTTCTACACTCTTAGGTGTTTAAATATTTTGATGGCAATAGGTTCCTAGGTCACATAGGCACTTTAAAATAATTACCTATGCTCTCCTTTGCTGCT